TATACTAAAATATTTTTACACAGTATGAATTTATGGTGGCTGGGGCTGTGGCCCCATGCAAGCCGTACAAGCATCAATATAACATCGGAGCTAAAACTAACTCACCTCCTAGACACCATATATTGATACAGTATCCCCAAAGAGAGGTATCAAGGCGGCTGGCAAGGCGACATTTACACGGTCACACTGGCCCGAGTGCCCTTGACATGTCTTCTCGCGAGCACGTGCTGTATAATTAATGGATAGGTGGAATAATGAATACATGATGCGGGAGTATGCGGGCGGGTAATGGGAAACAAGGAATCATATGGGAGAGGCCTTATCAAATTCAGCCACGCCCTTGATTTTTGTGCAAGAACTGCCAAGAAGCAAAGAACTCGCTGCAAAGAAGGAACTACTCAAGTGAGGTCCTTGCCTCAGGTCTTGGCCAGGCTGGCCTCAGGACAGGATTCATTGTTTTGTGGCACTATGGCTACTAGATCTAGATCTAGTCAAGCTTGTTTAGGTACTTGAATTTTGAGTAATAATCCGCTATTTTGATTTTTGAGTATATATACTTGTAGATATTGGTGATTTGATTGATGTCATTGACTTATTAAAGAAATGTGGCTTTCAAGGAACAAAGTGGCAAGAGCTGGGACTGAGACTAGGACTACTGAAAACTACACTGGATGCCATTGAAATGAAGTATCGTGGTGACGTGTATCACTGCTTGACAGAGTGCCTCTCCCAATGGTTAGGTAGAGCTGATAATGTTGACAGTAGAGGAGGAGCCAACTTGGACTCGCTGTCAGATGCTCTACGATCTATGAATGAAACTGCTGTAGCTGAGAAGTTAAGTGAGTCAACCATAACTGTATCTAACTATAATCACTGTATTTTCTATCATAGAACATCATGTTCTTATTAATATTTTTGATAATCGTCGTACTGTCCTGTCTCAGTCTCTTTGTGATTCTGTTGGTATTGCTTGGTTACTTTATGCTGAACGTATGTTGACACAAGAAGCAGTTAGTAGAGTGGTTTCAGCTAGTCCCTCTGTTCCTAATCAACGTGAGGCTCTATTAACTGGTGTCAAAGAAGCTGTTCAAACTGATCCCAACAGTTTACATACATTTGCTATTGTATTGTGTACAATCAGTACTAATGTATCACTAGGACAAACTATACTGGATGATATTAGTGAGTATGATGTCTGCTTTATTAATTAAAAATCTATTGATGCTGTTAAGTATGTCCTGACAACTGTTTGTTTATTATGTGTTTAGGTAAGTATTTTCCTACTCCTGAAGTGGGTGTAGTTCCTGAGACTATTAAAGATCATAATGTAGTTCCACAAGGTAATATGATTATTAATTAATTATTGATAATATCTTCATTAATATCTATAGATAATAGAAGAACTAATCAGACCAAGGCAACACAATCTGGTATGTATTAATATGGCAATAAAAGTGTTTCATTTTAATTTATAGACACGTCTCCTGATACAAAAGTTGCTAGTAATTCCTCTTTGCAACCTTTATCACCTCAAGGTATACACCTTTTACATGTACTGCTGTATAGCTAGAAAATTTGGTGGATTAAATTTTGATAAATTTGGTAAATTGATCCATTTGCCAAAATTTTATAGTCTCCAATTTGATAGGGCTCTGGAGCAGCATGCACATAGTGAAAATTTAGCCTCCAAACCTCTTTTAGATTCAATTTGCAAATTTTAACACTCCAAATCTTCTAGCTATTTGGTACTGAAGTAATAATATCTTTTGTATAGTTAAAGTACATGTTCCTGTTCCTAAAGACTTATTGACAAACTTTAGCTCAATGAGAACATGTTATGGAAGGATGTTCTACAATGTTAGCAAGATCATTAAAATACAACCTCCTCCTTTAGAAGAAATAAAAGAATTGCTGTCTTGTCGTAGCATTGTTCTTAGACAAAAAGCAGAGCAATGTGCTAATATTCCTAGTGTCTTGTGTCTTATTCAAAATGAGTGTTCACTAACTGATATTGAACTCCTTCATAGTGTAGTGGAAGATATGAAAATTACTGAAGCTACAGGATACATTGAGACATATAGAACAGAGTTAAAGGAATTCTGCAAGTCACTCTCCATCAGTCTTTGTTTAAATGAAAGATTTGCTTCCATTCCTTCGTTTCAATGTGAAACAGTTACTCTTGTATTTGACTGGGAGCCTGAGGAACATGTCCTGCAGGATATTAAGGATATACTATCGAAAGTATCTGGTAAACTACTGAAGATCGAAACTTCCACTTCAATATCTGTGACTTGCTCCTTTCCTTTGCCTGATGTTGGGTTTACTGTATTGAGGATGATAGAGAATATTCATATACTAATGGGACAAGGATTAAAGAAACTGACTATTGGTAACTTAACATTATGGAGGAGACAAGATGTTAGACAAAAGGTACATGTACATGTACATTTTCACATTAATAGTTGACTACATTATTGTACAGGAACTAAAAGAAAAGGATCAAAATTCATTACTACATACAGATGTCAGTGTACATTATAAAATCATAATTATGCCATGCAATTTAAGACATTATCTTCATATTAAAGTTTTCATACATTTTTAGGTTACTTCTTATATTATACTTAAAGAAGCTGAATATAAACTAAGACATGCTATCAGTAGCAAAGAGAAGGTATGTCATTCATGTACCAGATAGTTGGATATCTTGTACTTATAATAGGAAACGATTAAATTGAAACAAGAACTATTAATGATGAAAGTACTGGAGGTTAGTTATTACTGTATATGAGTTTTATTTTGTTGGTCTAAAATTTTGTGAATTTGTTCAGATTTGTTAATATAAATTTTCACGAATTTTACCGCAGAGCGGGATATTTTGGAGGGGATTAAATTTGACGAATTTGGCATTTTGATAGCCATTTGCAAAAAAATCCTGCCAATTTTGAGCCATTATACGCATGCTCAATGGAAAGTGGCCACAAGTTCTCCAAATTAAAATTCGCTAATCACCAAAATTTAGCAATTTGCCAATTTTTAGTGCCTCCAAAATTTCCCGTTACACGTATACGATACCTTCTGCAGCCATTTTCCTAGCATGCCAAACCTCTTTTGTGGAATTTAATTTTGTGAATTTAATGAAAAACGAAATTAGCGACCTCTAGTTAAATATAACCCCTATACGTTGCACTATAAATAATTATAAAGTACATGTACAAAACTTTTGTCAGTGCTTGTAATCTTAAATATTTCATTGCATTACTAACAAATTCCGTCCTTACCTCTGTAATAATTATATCCACAAATTTCACATTTGGCCTATCTTGCATATACTACATGTATCTGTATTTGTGAGTGCATGAGGTCTGTTAGTCATTTTGCCTTGCTACATGTATGTATTGATGTTTCATTAGTTTTTCTTGTCAGATATTTTAACTAATACTGTACCATGTAGCTGGAATTAATTGGTGGATTGAATGGTAGTTGCAGTAAACATCTGCAAATATAGAACCTGCCATCTTGTCTCATTCTGAGCATGCTCAGTGATACTTGATGTGATTATAAAACTTGCCAATTGAAAATTGTACAAATTTAATTTCTGTGATATTTCCAGCTGTACTGTATGATAATGTCTTAATTATTAGGAAGAATCATTGTCTGTTCAAAGTGATACTGAATCAATTAAAGAAGTTGAGGTATATCTCACTAGTTTGTATTAATTATAATAATTATTAATAGGAAGAACCACTTTATGAAGAGTTGACTGTATTGAGCTCTCAGTTTAATGAGATAAAAGAAGAAAACAAAGAACTGTCAGATAAAATATTTAAAATGAAGGTTGAGTATTTGAGATTACTTACACTTTCTAGTAATACTGATTCAGGTTAGAATAGTTTTATTGATTATATACCAGTTATAATGATTAATTAAAGCTGCTAGCAAAGTGAGAAGAGCAATGTCTTTTGAAATTGATGACTGCAAATTTCATCTTAAAGCAATGACAAGACCAGACTATCAGCCATTAGTAGATAATACAAGAATAATAGAGAAATTACAAGAAAAAATAACATTAATGAATATGGAACTAATTACTGAAAGAAAACACAATGAGAAGATTATAAAAGATATTAAAGGTTTTATTGATAATTACATGTATATCACTGTTTGATCGTTGATATTTAAATAGATTTGACAAATGTTGAAGACAAAGACATGGAGCGTATTGTAGCAACCACACAATCAGCTCTTGAAGATGACGAACAGGACACTGGAGCACCTTACACTCTTGAGAAATACTCGTATGTTGAAGACAAAGACATGGAGCGTATTGTAGCAACCACACAATCAGCTCTTGAAGATGACGAACAGGACACTGGAGTGCCTTACACTCTTGAGAAATACTCGTATGAGTACTTTAGAGAGCCAATGTCTAGATTTCCTGGCTTCATTCGAGGTGCTCTGAGAAAGAATTCAGCAGAGACAGAGATATGGGCCCACGTGAGGGAGCCAATCAAGAAAGCATTGCTCAAGAGGTTTGATAAGGAATCTGAGGACCTTCATCAAAAGGCTTGTGCTTCATTCCTTGATATCCTACCATACATAATGATAATAATGATGATAATAGTACATAGTAGTAGTAATAATAGTAAGATAATGAATGATGATGATGGAAATGTACATACTTTTGACAAAATATTGCTAATAGTATTATCCTTAACATGTCCTCACCTATCTTGAAGTATATGGGAGATTATCCTTCCAAGAAACTAAGGCTTAGCACAGAATTGACTGACCAAGTTTTTGAGCATGCTGTATCTCATGTAAGAAAAAATATAAAAATAAATTACACTCTCTATATAATACTCATGTTTACATGTACATTTATTTACAGGAAGTATTAAGGGATGAAGTTTACTGTCAAATTATAAAACAATTGACGTTCAACAAATTAAGGTATTGAATTTATTTATTTTATCAAAAGTCATAATCATTATTATTATTATAGATTTAGTGAAGAGAGAGGTTGGGAGCTCCTCTGGCTGGCCAGTGGTCTGTTTCCATGCAGTCAAGTTCTTTATAAAGAGGTCAACCAGTTCCTGAGGTCACGTATCAAACGATGGCTGATTGCTGCTGACATTCAACAGCGATTATACAAATCCACTCAGTTAGTGTTTTATATGAATATGAATAGTCTATTCTTTTTTTCCAAAAAATTGGCTCCAAAAGCATCCTTTTTTATTGAAATGATATTATTCTTATTATTATTTTTATAGATCTGGCGCTAGACAATATCCACCCCATTTGATTGAAGTTGATGCAATTCAAAACAAGACAACACAAATATTCCATAAAGTGTTCTTCCCTGATGACTCAAGCCAGGTAAATGCACAGGCAGACACACACACACACAGCAGAGTTACATGTGCTAAATACATTAGAGAGGTATACACCATAAATCATACATGCACACGGCAACTTTAATACAGTAATACTATTTTGAAGACTGACCTTTGAAATACTGTGGCTTACTGCCAAATTTTTGAGTAACTTTTAAAATTCATTAAAAATCCAATTTTGATTGGAATCAGCTCAAACTTGATACACAACATAATAACGTGTATATGTATCAGAAAAGACAATAAAATGGAGAATTCCCTCCTAGCCATTTTTGATGATATACAGTACATGGTCTGACATTATGCACATTTCTTAGGCTTTTGAAATTGATTCAAGCACAAGGTCACGTGATTTCTGTGCAACAATAGCAGAGAGACTTGGTCTAAAGTTCATAGTAGGTTTCAGTTTATTTGTAAAGATTGGAGACAAGACTATCAGTGTACCTGAGACTGAATTCTTTTTTGATTTTGTGCGTCATCTGACCAAATGGTTTAAGAGAGCTAGACGCAAAGATGGTAAGTATTTATAGTTGGCATACAGAACATTTTGATTGGTTTTTTGTTAATCTTTTCCCTCAGCTAATCTTAATCTCACTTACAAACTTTTCTTTATGAAGAAACTGTGGGTAAACATGACCATAGGCAAAGACAGAAAGTCAGATGTGATATTTCACTATCACCAGGTATTACATGAGAAGCAGAGAGATAGACTAAAGTGTCTATAAAGAAGTTATAGTGCCAAGATACATGTACTTGATTATGTTCATTTCATTGCTTTAGGAGCTCCCTAAGTATCTGAGAGGTTATCACAAGTGTACTCGAGATGATACAGCTCTTCTTGGTTCTTACATTTATCGTGTTAAGTTTGGGGACACTAGATCCCACTTTGGAGAAATACCGTAAGATATATGTACGTCACATTTTAAGTTTAATCATCTTATTTTATAGTCAAATGTTGCGTGAGCTGATACCCCATGACATGCTGAGGGAATTCCATCCGGAGGACTGGAAAAGAGTGATTAAAATAATAGCACAACACTGCCACTTTATTCTCCTCCTTTTCCTCTCTTTCTCTTAGGCCATTGTTGCTAATTTCAGTCGTCATCATACCAAATCTTCAGAAGAGGCAAAGATAAGTTTCCTCAAGTATGTGAGCAGGTGGGAAACTTTTGGATCCACATTCTTTGAAGTCAGGGTAAGCAATGCTAGAGAAAAACTTCCCAAAATATTTTTGTATTACATCATAGCAAATAACAGAGCCTCGCCTACCTGAAATCTTACTCATTGGCCTTAATAAAAATGGTGTCATGTTGATAGACCCAGCAAATAAAGTAATAATAATAATTGAAATTACATAATTGATATAAATATTTTATTTATTATCAAAGGATATACTGGCCACTCATCCGTTCACTATGATCACTAATTGGAGCTGTGGGTCTAACTATTTCCACATGACTATAGGAAACCCAATTGAAGGCAGTAGACTGCTCTGTGAAACATCTCTGGTAAGATTCAGCAAATGTAGTGCAATACATGTGATCAATGGATGCATTAAATGTGATCAATGCATGCAATGCATGTGATCAAGCCTGCCTGTGTTGACTCTGTAGATGCAGTACTCTGTGCTTTATAATATTATTTTATGTGATTTTAGGGTTACAAAATGGATGATCTGTTGACCTCATATATATCTCTTATACTTGCTGAAATTAAAAAGAAGAATCCAGGAGCTGTGGGAGGAGCTGGCAGCAGACGCTAAAAGGGAAATTTTTATAAAAGAGAACAAAGACGTCACTTAAAATTATTATTATTATATTTTATTATTAGGATTTTAATTTATTTTGCTGCTTTTTATAAATGCTTTTGTTTTGTCTGTGTGTCATTGTCATTTTTATTAGCTATTATTATTACTTTGGTTATTACACCAGCTATAAATATGTGCAAATTAAAGTGAAAGCAAGCCTAAAAATTGATTTTTATTCACTTCCGGTTGAAATTTTATTACATCCAGTTTTGTTTCACTTCCAGTTTGATTTAAGGGGCTTCCCACAAAGCTCTCCTGCGCATTCGCGCTTCTGTACACAGTCGTAACTCATAATGCACTAAATGCAGTCTGCTTAAAGTGCTTTGCAGGTTGCTTGACCCTTAATCACGTGAGCAGGAAGTAAGAAAATTGGGTCAAGCAACCTGCAAAGCACTGTACCTTCTTCAGGTAGTATTTTGATGTCAAAAAAATATCTGTAGGAAAATAATATTCACTATAGCCTATTATCCACTACAATAAAATTATTAAAATGATTTAAAAGTTTTGGCACCATTACTAGAAGCTACTACAGCTAATGTCAGTGATTGTGTCCAGCTGTTGCTGCTACTCTTAGTATTCTGTGTCACTTCTGGTGTCTTGGGTCCTTCAGCTTAGACTCATTGACTTTTGTGTTGGTTTGCTACTAGCAGCGTCCATCTTTACCCGCTTCACTTGAGCATATACTGGACTCCAAACGATAGGCCTGGATTAAAATTAAAACATATAAAATATATCAAATTTTGATTTTAACATCAAACTCAGGCAACAAGTACATGTACAAGTATAAGAATAAATACTGTACCGTGAACCCATCTCATAATAGCAGGCTCTACACAGACACTACATTATATAGTTGATACTAAACTCACCACAGGATCTTAAGGATGATGTACATTAAGAATTTCTTAGAAAAAGGCAGCAGTGAATCAGCTCCTTTGCTTTCCTTCACTAGTGGACTGTGTTCCCTTAGCATTAAGAGTATACCCAATGGAGACTCAACAGCAAATAAGTGATCCACTTTAATCTTTAAGAGAATTGAACCCTTTCTTTATCACTAGCTCTAATTCAAGTTCGGAACTCTTATTCTTAACTTCTGCAGCTCTTCAACTTTTTATCAGACTCATTTTTAATGATCTGGTGGGAAAAAAAAAGCTGGTAATTTTAACTCTCCAGATTTGATTATACATGCAACTATCCCCTGTCCTTCAATCTCTCTTTTTCCTCCCTCTCTCTCTCTTTTCTAATTAAACTAAATGCCCATTTCTTCCTCCCTCCCTCTCTCCCTTTCCTACCTGTTAATAAATCAATGTCCATTGGTTTACAATCTCTTTCCTTTTTCTCCAGTAGTCCATTGATACTACAGGTCTCATACATCAGGTCATAGCACATTATGTTACCAAGTTACCAAGCAAATGAGCAAACATTGACACTGTTCCATTATTTGAAATAAAATCAAAATTACGTCTTGTAAATTCGTTGTACGTATTTCTTGTGCAGCTGCCAATGCAGACCATTAAGAATCTACAACAAATACATTTTTAATACACACCATTGTTAGTATATATATATATATATAGTATTGCTAGTGTATGTACAAGTAGTTCATACGGTATTCATAATACATGTAGCATGAAGCATACATGAAGCTGCTAACTTCAGGTCCAAACCAAGTGCTAACGTAAAACATGATGTCAAGTACAGAGTCATTTAAGATAGCACGTGATGCATTCATATCATGTGGAGTGATACTAGCCACTGCACCTATTGAGAAAATGTACCACATACGGACTATAGAACAGGGTATTACATCAAAAATGAAAAGGAAAATTCTCCATTTAAAATTTTTTCTGATGCATATACATGTTTTTATGTTGTTTAGAACGTTTGAGCTAATTTCAATGAAGCTTGGACTTTTTACAAATTTTTAAAGTTGCTCCAAAATC